TAACAGCCATTTTGTAGGCCTTTATTCGTAGTTAAATGTATGTTGTACAAGTATAGAAACAATCTAACTTAAAATACGGAATATAGTATTTGGAATTTTGGAGAAAGTGTTAAGATACGTTGATTGCTTAGCACTCTAGCAACCAGCTTTTATAATTCATCGCTCTTGTTCTAACTCCTATCAGATTATTTGTCAACTCTATACACACATACATACATACACACACACACACACACACACACACACACACACACACACACACACACACACACACACACACTAACACTTTCATCAAAATCAAACTGAAAAGGGTGAAAACAAGACAGAGACGTGAAGTAGTATTTCTTTAGTATGTGGGTGAAAAGCGGAATAACTCAGATCAGGCAATGGCGATTGAAAACAACAGTTTCTGGCCCAAGAGGCCAGAAATCAATATTGCCGATCAAAGCAGTCTAGGAGGCGGGTCCAGGATCTTAATCTCAACACCCCCTCCACACACACACCAGCATGCAGGCTACCCCCCACAAAAGTTAAAATGTACACAGTTTAAAAACAATCCACCGAGAAACTTTAAAACAGTAAATACACACATGTGTAAGAGGTAAAACAAATTCGTATGCATTAAAAACCAAGCGAACAACTGACGAGCGGACGCCAGGAAAGAGAGGGGGAAGGGAAAGGGGAAGAAACGGGAGGAGGCAGGGAGAGGGAAGGAGGAAGAGTGGGAAGGAGGGAGTGGGAAGGAGGAAGGGAGTGGGAAGGAGGAAGGGAGTGGGAAGGAGGAAGGGAGTGGGAAGGAGGAAGGGAAAGGTAAGGGGAAAGGGGGGGAGGAGGAAGACTAGAGTGTGAAGGAGAGGATCACCAGAGAGAAGAAGAGATGGGATAAGAGGGGAATCAGGAGGGAGAGGGAGAAAGGAAAGAACAGAGAAAGTTAGGTGACAAGGGAGGAGGTGATAAAGGGGAGCGACGGTAGGAGCAGGAGTGAGGTGGGAGGTGAGAAAGATTATAATGACAATTAAGGCAAGCTTGGTGTACCCAGAGGGTGAAAACAAGACAACAATGAAGTGTTCCTAAGTATAAACCATGAAAGAACCACCACAAAGATGGCGTTTGACGTTCTTCTGATGAAACGTATTCTCATTTTAGCTGACGTGTTTCTTAAAGTCAACCACTCCACGTTTCCTATCTTCTCCAAACTGCACTGTCTATTTTGAGTTAGTGCTAACTTAATCGACATAAAACTATACAAACGTATGTGTAACCACAACTAATAAAGCTATAAAAACACTCCATAATACGTCTGGGAGCAAGATGGCCAATGAAAAATTGGATATGTTGAGGTTTATCACACTTGGTGCGAGAATGAACTGTCTGATGGATTGCCAGCAACAGATTCTGAACAATGTGTCTTGCCCAACCGCTTCTAAGATCACATGGTACACATGCAAGAAGGCCAGACTTCTTTGCTCACTACCTGGGTTAATCAGACTGTTCCTGCTGGAAGCCCAGGGGTCTAGGTAACCATCAGTGTTAAGAAATTATTAGGTTCCATAAAGACATATTTGGAAACTTTAGTAAAAGGTTTTAAATCTAACCTTCAAAAAATGAGTGTACAAAATGGTAGTTGAGAGAGAGAGAGAGAGAGAGAGAGAGAGAGAGAGAGAGAGAGAGAGAGAGAGAGAGAGAGAGAGAGAGAGAGAGAGAGAGAGAGAGAGAGAGAAGAGATACAATAATAAGCACGTTTGTTGGACAATAAAAGTAACTGCTGCATCTGCATCACCTTCAGTGAGGTGAACAAAACAATGTACTGTCCTTGATGTTTGTTTGCTCTGACACACACACACACACACACACACACACACACACACACACACACACACACACACACAAAGCTTAGCAAACCTCAAAACAGCATTCAGGAACTTTAACAAAGAATCCTTCAGAACTTTATAGGTCCATCAGAGCCCCATGCTGCCCCAGCATGGAACTCACGTTTAGTCAAGAACATGCCAAAGCTCGAAAAAATTCAAAGGTTTGAAACCAGGTTAGTATCAGAATTGCGGGAAATGCACTATGGGGAGAGGTTGAAAGTGCTGACCCTCGCAACCTTGGCGGAGAGAAAGCCAAGAGAAAACATGTTTACGACTTACAAAATCCTAAAGAGGTAAAAGTAGATAGACTGTCTGAATTAAGAGAACCAGGATCAAGGAGACACAGGTGATGACGAAAACACATACGAGTCATAAGGCTGTAAGGAAGTATTTATTTAGGATTAGAGTGGTTGAAAAATGGACTGCCCTGGATATACCTTTGAAGTTTCGAGTTTTACTCCTCTCAGAGCCCGGTCATGTGCCAGGCTCGTCCGGTGCTTGCCTGATCAACCAGGCTGTTGATTGTGGAGGCCCGCTGCCCCACATATCCATCACAGCCTGGTTGATCTGGCAACTGGTGAGATACTTGTCCAGTTTTCTCTTGAAGGCTTGTACACTTATTCCAGCCGTGTTTCTGATATCTTCTGGTAAGATGATGTATAGTCTGGGACCCCCAATGTCTCCACCGCACCCCTGCTCCGCATTGTATGTTATGGCAGTGTGCAGATTTGGGACCAAGCCCTCTAGTACTTTCCAGGTGTATATCATGTCTCTCTCTCTCTCTCCTCCGCTCCAACGAGTTTATGTCCAAGGCTTGAAGGCGTTCCCAGTAATTTAGGTGCTTTACTGGCTCAATGCGAGCCGTAAACGATCTCTGTATTTGTTCCAGCTCTGATATTTATCCTGCTTTGAACGGGCCGTCACCACTGAGCAATATTCTAAATAAGGAAGCACTAGCGATCTGAAGTGTCACCATCGGCATTATTTCCCTTGTTTTGAAAGTTCTCAATACCCACCCCGTCATCTTCCTGGCTGTCGTGATCTTTGTCTTGCTATGTTCCTTAAAAGAAAGGTCAGCTGGCATAATTATTCCTAGGTCTTTTACGTGTTCCTTTCGTTCTATTTGGTGACCCTCGCGAGTTGTGTATATACTGTTCCTTTTGAGTTCTTCATTCTTTCCATACCTAAGCAGCTGGAACTTATCACCAATGAACGTCATGTTCTCCACTGCCCGCTGGAAAACCCTGCTTATGTCTTCCTGTAATTTTTCAGTGTCCTCTACCGCAGTGACTTTCATGTTTATTTTAGTGTCATTCGCAAATGATGATACAAAAGTGAGACGGGTGTTTTGATTTATGTCTGCTATAAGGATGAGAAACAGCAGAGGTGCCAGGACAGTGCCTTGGGGCACTGAGCTTTTGACCTCGTTGATGCTGGATTTTACTCTGTTTGCTACTACTATTTGTGTTCTGTGCGTTAGGAACCGGAAAATCCATCTGCCTACCTTCCCCGTAATGCCCATGGCCCTCATTTTGTGCGCTATCACCTCATGATCACATCTGTCAAACGCCTTTGCAAAATCTGTGTAAATCACATCTGCGTTTTGGTCTTCTTCCAATGCCTCCGTAATTCTGTCATAATGGTTCAGCAGCCGTGACAGGCATAATCGTCCTGCTCTAAAACGACATCCATGCTGGATGTGGCAGTAATGGAGGCAAACTCAATACGCAGTTTTAAGAGTAAATATGATGAGGCCCAAGAGGCCAGAAATCAGTGACGTCGATCAGGGTAGTCTGGGAAGAGGCCCTAGAAGCAGTCTCGGCTCCGGAAAACACAACTGTGTGAACACACACATACGCAAACATTGGCTGGCAAGAAGGCGCACACAGGGTAACTCCTTGCACGAGGCGCACTAACACTTCCACACAAGTGTACTTCACACCCACAATACTACTGTCAATGAATTATACCGCCCACTCAAGATCGTGTACAAACATTCTAGAAACTCAACCTGCATTAATGCAATATTTTGCCCCTGGTCTATCAAATATCCCAAACTTTTATTTTAATAACTAGTGGTATTTAGTATCCACTCACACGCACGCGCGCTGGCACACTGATTCGTTTATTAGGTTTAAAGCTTATCGACTACGCGAGGGTCCATATATATATATATATATATTATATATATATATATATATATAATATATATATATATATATAATAATATATATATTATATTATATATATATATATATATATATATATATATATATATATATATATATATATTATATATATATATACTATACCACCAGTAGAGATATAGATACACATGTCTGTATAGTATTTAATATCCTATACACAGAGATATATACCTCTCAGTGCATATACCTTCTAGGTGATGATAGGTGGGTGCACTGGTGTCTGACAAAACTCCAGTAACAAGCAACAACAGTCAGATACAGCACACAACTTGTAGTTAAAAGACGCGTGAGCAAGCACTTGGGTCATTTTTATTATAGACATGTTTTGGCTCTGGGAATTTGTTCACTAAATATATTTGGAATGAACAAGGTCAGGGGACCAAAACAGCCATAATAAATGTGCTAAGAATTTGTTCACGTGTCTTTAAGCACAACTATTTGGTATCATACACACGGTTAACACTATGACACAGGATCAAGTTCTGACTACTGTCATTTGTAGTGGCGGCGTTGCCAAGCCAAGTTGCTAGAAAGGACAAACAAGAGGCGACCCAACACAACACCTGCCTGTGAATACTTACTACCCACGCAAACCTCCTCGGGCCAATTACTGTCTCGGTGTTAAAGCGTCAGTCTCTCCAAGTCAAACGAAAATAAGCAAAAACAAGAATGAAAATGCAAGAGGAGGAGAGATTATGATGAGGAGGGGTGACCAGATAAGAGGAACAACAGTGAATAAGAGGGTAGAGTAGGGTGGTAACAGGAGGGTAGGGTAGTAAGAGAAGGGGTCTAGTAGAAAAAGGAGGGTGGATGAGAGAAGGGTAGATACGCGATTAAGAGGAAATGGGGGCGAGTAAGAGGGAGGAATGAATCACAATAAAGGAAAAAGTGAGGCAGTGTGTTTAAGAAGAGCAGTAGTTACACTTCACTCGTGTGTAATGACAACACTTCCTTAGGAAAACATATGTCAACACTTGAAGCGCCGTTGGAATGTTGCAATTTGGTTACTCCTTCTCTTGGCTGTACGTGCAGTTTACTAAAGCTGTCTGCTCCCATGACTGAGTTGTAGTGTGACGTGGCGGGGTAGCGTCACACACTTGTGTTGCTTCATTTGCTTACTCATTGTCTTCTGCTGATATGCTATGGCATGGGGGGGGGGGGGACTTGGCTGCGAGAGTAGTAGCGTTTATAGACACAGATGACCAACAGAGATGTAAGAAAATATTTCTTTAGTTTCAGGGTGAGTGAAAAGTGAAACCATTTGAACGAGGCAGTCATGGGGGAAAACCTCAATACACAGCTAGAAGAGTACCGTAGATATAATAAGGCCCAAGAGGACAAAAATGAGCGATGCCGATCAAAGTACTCTAGTAGGAAGGGCCAGGGGCGAAGTCCAGATTCCCACAAAGTACGTACGTGTACACTGCCTAATATGACAGTCTAACAACATAGCTCATAACACCTGCTCAACGAAGCAAGAGAAACCTGTCATGCAAAATAAGGCTAGGAACACCCCCACCCAACCAATCCCAACCTTTCACTTCGAGATTAATGCCAGTTACAACAGAATGAAGGAGTCTCTTTATAACACCCTCAAGACTTTAAAGAGAGAGGAGTCTCTCTTAAATGTACTTATGGAAGCTGTAACTATCAGTTGATTTAATGATCACCTCGTGCCTTAAGTCTCACATCATGGATCTGCCAGAGTATTTTCCCTATTTAAATTATGATATCTATCTCTCTACGGTTCATTAAATACACTTTAAACGCTTCACGGTGGCTCCGGTAATTTTCATGAATTGCAGATACTTGGCGCGTAGTCAATATTTTGGTATACGTATTTTAGGAGTTATTTGAACTGCGTTGCAAGAGTATATAAACAAGATCACGTGATTTACGAAAAACATCACGGGTGTGGCAACTCATATTTTCAAGGTTCTTTATAATGCTCTGCTTCAGGTTATTCTCACAACATTACGTCCTCACACAGTATTACTGCGTTTTCTAACTTCGAGGTTCAGAGTTCTTAATTTTTTCGTATCGACAGTTTTGTAATTTGGGAGTTATTATGTTTTCTATCATTCTGTTTATAATACCGTTCAAAAATGTTAACACGAAGACGTAGTTTCTAGTCTCGCCACCAAGCCAGATGACGGGTTTCTCTAAACCACTTGATTACCTAAGCTACTGCTGCTTGCAGGTCAATAGTCAACAAAGCCTGGTTGATCAAGTACGTACCTCCTGCAGGAGTTTTGTTAAAATACCCTCTTTTAAACTACTGTTTTTTGTCTACTTTTTATGTCTACTGTTAAAAGATTGAAGAGTCGTAGACCTCAAATATTGAGGTAGGCATGGCATCCGTTTTTAATTACCTTTATTCTGTACTCTGTTCTACACGTCTAGCAGCGTGGAGGATGAGAAGCAAAGAGAAGCCTTCAAATCTGTACAGATATCGCACCACAAATGTGATATCCATACAGGTTTGAACGTTGACTTATGTTTCTGAGCTACAACGTTGCCAGACGTGTAAGAGAGTACAGAATAAAGATAATTAAAACCAGGGGTGCCATACCTACCTTAGAGAACACCGTCAATATTTGCGGTAGACGACTCTTCAATTTTCTAACAGTAGATATAAGAAGTATCACTGGAACAAGGGCAACAGAAAGTCTGCAGTCCTGATCAACCAGGTAGCAAAGAAGTAGAGAGGCTATTCCAAAATAACTTAAGAGTTCCACCCCGGTTAAGAAACAGAATAAAGTCTACACCAGCGCCTAGGAAAAAAACTTTGGTTAACAAAAATAAAGAATCAAATTCCTAAACTATCTCTCAGTAGTGCGTAAATGAACAAAAAATACAAATTAGCCACCGCGCTAAGGTAAGAGCTCAAGGCTAGATTGTATAATCTTATCACTAACAAATGATACTTACATCGCCCAATACTTCAGTGACATCCATGTTAACCCAAACATAGCTTCTGCACATATAAAAGTATCTAAGAGTGTGATGTAATTATACCTACTGAACTAGAAGTTAAAAGATGTTTAGTGATTAAATATCTTGACAAGTCAATAACAAAAATAATATACGTATAATGTATGCATGTCAATACACACACACAACTATATACTGTTTTTGCTACTGACTTGTCAAGATATTTAATTACCACACCTCTAACTCGCAATATTATAAACAAATTACCATCAATGCTGACGTAATTTGAAGATATGCATCTTGTTCTTCAACACATATCCAACTTGTGCAGAAGTTTACACGTAACATCGTGTCAAACGTGTGAAATACATGACCACCAGAAGTCCTGCTCCAGGAACGGGCAGCGGGAGGATGATAACCCCGGAATCAACAACAGGGTTGGTAGACGAAGCAATCCATTGCTCCCAATCAATATAAGAATGTTCAGAAACGTGTCAGGAAAGGTCATACTCCTTCAAAAACTATAATCAAACAAACGTCCACCTATCTCAACAGCTAGAGGATCTATCGTACACTGGAAAAATGCCCGATATGATGAAGTAAAAATATCGGAGACCTGACGTTTTCTTGCAACTCCCTAGTTGCAAGAAAACGTCCAACTACTACTGCTACATATGGTTGGTAATAAATCTATCAACATTTCGACTATTCTCATACACGCACATCTAAGCTTAGCAACACCAGAATTATCTAGAGATATTTAAATCGTCTATCAGAAATGGTGTTCACATGTCAGGCTAAATCATCAGAAATTATTACAATCAGCACTCCCTCTCAGTAACAGACCTTACACCGAAGAAAAATCAAAGACTGACTGACTCAAAAGCAATAAACAATACCACAGGATACTCAAACTAATATTATAACAAACATAAGGCTTAGCAACCAATAAGATCCTTGAAAAAATCTCCACACCAAGTGTTATGAAACTTAAAGCTCAAGTTTATAAAGATTTTGCCTCAAAGACAAATAGACTTGAGGAGCTATACAGGAAACAATTTCTTTTCATAAAGGTATCCAGCAGAAAGGCGCCTGTTTTTACAAGCATCTACAACAGTATTTGACAATGACGAATAGAGAAAAGCAGTTAAGAACTTAAACAGAAGGCGGCAAGAGTTCATGTTTAAAAAAAAAACTTATGGTTTAAAGTCAAAATAAACATGAAAGCTAACATAGTGTTACCATTAATAACAAAAATTCCAAATAAATCCTATACGAACAAACCAACAATATGAAGCCCCAAAACTCTTTTAGATGCCTTCCAATACTAGCACACCAGCGTACCATGTATGTACAAAAACAAGTTAACATACGAATACAATGTTTCTCATGCACTCGAATGTAACCACAATTTTGATGAAGTAGCAGCAACTTAATTCATCACAGCCTGGTTGATCTAGCACTTGAATTAAAAATCTCTCGCCAGCATCAAGCACCTTCCCTTATGGGAGGTAAGAACAAAAATTATACAAATGACAAAAACAAAATTAAATGCCGAAAAGTTATCACTTTTTTCTTAATTCTTCTTTTCCATTTCCCCTCCCTTACCCTTTACTTTCTACGGCGTGTCTTGACTAATTTATATTATCTTCCAATCCTGATTTTTCCTTTTTTTTTTGGCACAAAGTGGATGGGAAAATTTTAATCGCTGAATCATTTGCTTTCCCGTAGTCAAACGAATGATTTGGTTTACTTCAGCTGGGAAGTTTGAAATGTCATCGACAACACTGCCGTCATACTGTATAGTGTCATCGGCAAAGAATGCTACATCGCTATCATGTCTATAAAAGCCATAAGAATGAGACAATTTCCGACTTTACTGTCCTTTTCAGTGTTAGCTACAGAGCTTGACTAATTTAAATTCTCTAGGCTCGATTTTTTTCTTTTAAAGTTTGGAGATCAATGTGCCTAACTTTTCTAGTTATTCACTTTGTATGAAAATACACCTTGGTTACATTTCAGTTTATATATATATATATATATATATATATATATTATATATATATATATATATATATATATATATATATATATATATATATATTGTGACAGATCGCTTGACATTTCAATGGCCATAAGACTGCTCAACAATGAGCCATCACAATCAGATGATCAGTTGGCGTCATCACTATCAGCTAATCAGATGACTCCAACAATATCAGTTGGTCAGTTGACGCCATCAGTATCAGCTGATCAACTGATATACCACCTTCCCAAGCTGTCACGACAGTCAACACATAGCTACTGTGTCGTTATAACAAGAGTTACATTTATATGCCAGGGAAGCAGAACATCTAATCTATATTTTTTCAACTATCACAGTCCTGAGGCAGCGCTAAACCCTATAGACGTCATACATTGCACCGGGAATGGACGGTAATCAATTTAGCTCCGCGGGGTAGGGTTAACAAATTACTTTGATCAAGAACTCTTCAAAACTTTTCTTTGTTAACAATGTAATACTTGTGTAGTATTACACAAGTGACAGATCAATTATAGTCATGGTCCCTTGCTATGCTGACGTCACGGCTCGCTGGCTAGCCCAGGGAGCCCGTGACGTAAGGGATTCGTCATACTTGGGGAGGGAAAAAAAGACGGAGAGAGTAAGCTTTCCTTTTTACCTGCCAACAGAGCACTTTACACCACTTACACTCCACCTTGTCAGCACTAGTTAAGGAAATCAAATACTGGGAACAATTATATACAAATAAAAGAGGGAAGGCCGAATCTCTTGTGCCTTGGGTCAAGGCTTGACCTAGTCTGACCCTCCTGCCAATATGAAGGAATATGGGTCTCCTTCAAGAACAAACATGCACAATACCTGACTGGAACAATACACAAATAACCCTCACATAGAAGATTACGACGACGTTTCGGACCGACTGAACCATTAACAGCCAGTGACTTTGTAAATGGTGCAAGTCGGATCGAAACATCGTGGTAAGGATTGCAAATCACCTGGATTCCCAAAATCTGCACAATCCAGGGCAACATGGGTTCAGGGCAGGTCGCTCCTGCCTCTCACAACTACTGG